AGATAGATAGATAGATAGATAGATAGATAGATAGATAGATAGATAAATAGATAGATAAAAAGACAGAAAGACAAATAGAACGATCGAAAAAAGAGTGATAGATAAAAAGATAGATATAAAAAAAATCAATTGATAGATAGAAAGTCCGGTAGCCTAAGATACAAAGTTTAATAGATTGATACAAAGTAACAAAATATATCGATGATAACAGATGAAAAAGAAGATAAAACAGCGATCGAATCAAAATGATGTTTAATTGTAACTTTTTAGATAAAGGGCATTGACAGACACTTAAAATATTCAAACATTGAAACATTAAAACTAAAAATTTTCCCAACAGAGCTCTAAACGCATTAAACTGTTAGTAAAGGGTTGAAACTAGCAAAGTTTATGTATTTAAAGGTCTTCATATAAACTTTATTGACAATAAACCTGAGTTTTACTAGCCGAGCAATTTGCTTATCATACTTGTAAATCAAGCATTTTATCATTCTACTTTTTAAACANCACATAAACCCTTTCACCAACACCTCGCAAACATTGCAAATATTTACTTTCATGCAAAAACTTAGCAAAAACATTTCAACATCAAGCTACCGAATTCAAACAAATTCTTAAGAAAATCAACTTTCAATGAATGAAAAAAAATATCCAATCGTAATTTTGGTCAATAAATAAAAGACTTAGTTCTTTTACTCAATGCTCAAAGAATTATTGAATATATTTTACGATTACCCTAGTTTATAATCCATAAAGAATAAAAAAAAGAATAATTACAACTTTTTTAAACCTGTACCAAAATCAAACCGAAATATATTTTAAAACGTGGAACTAACACCTACTTTAATTACTCTAAGAGGTTTGAATCATCAGTATCTTCCCTCCTATACACAACCCTGCTTTAATCACCTCGTAATTTCGCGTGTTTTTGCATATCTGCAAGATTTTAATTCTCAAAAGTGACGTCATATTATGTGTTGGGGGTATCCCCCTTCTAGCTTCGGTGCAGCATATTTCTCTTAATGTTACGATTATTACTCTTTTAGTGCTTCACCTTTTTTTACACTCATTATATTTAACTTAAAGTATATTAAAGGGACTGTAAGTGTAAACTCATGCAAAGAGGACAATTCCCGATTTCAACGGTTCCCTTGAATGCAAAAACGAAGATATTATCTGAGTTAAACACTTCTTCATTTAGAAAAACGCGAATATCTTCCTCATTTTAAATCAAATAAAGATTTTAAGGGTACCGTTGTAAATCGTGCATTGATTACTTTAATTTACGCTTACAGTCCCTTTAAACACTCAATATAAATTGTCTGTGAAAGCACAGTCCTATAAAAATTAAATTGCAAGTAATTGTTTGAAATAGAAAAAAGTTGCTAAATATTAAATTCCCCCCCCCCCTTTTCTTCCGTCCGAAGTAAGTTTCTAAATTTAAATTCTTTTAGAAGACTATTTTAATTCTACTGCATTAAGTATACACATTACACAATACATACACAATTAAAACAAGCCTAAGAATAAGCAAGCAAGCGTTAAACGTCCTATAAACTAAGAAACCTGTGTGACACAAAATATGAAATAGCAATGTCAACCTGGGTTATAATTAAGGATTTGGATGACATTTTTCAAGCCTATATTGTTAGAAAATTGGGATTAGAACATAATCTAAATATTGTGGGGGTTATATAGTGCCTTTGATTGATAGAATTTACAAAAATCTTCATAAATAATATTTATAAACCGAGATGGGGACCCACAAAGGATGAGACTTCAGAGACAACTGTACGGAATTTATTCCTATATCCATGATGATTTCCTGCAATTGTAAATCCATATTTTTATTGTCAAATCATTTGATAAGCTAGAACCATTTTCAAGGCAGAAGGCTTAAATTGTCGTATTTTAAGAGTTTTAGGTCGTCTTTTCAGTCTTATTCTTTGTAGGTTACCCTGTACAAGATTTTTTTACAAGATTTGTTTTCACTCAAATCTGAAATATTTAGATCTGCAAGAAACTCAAATATATCTGACAGAGTACTTTCTTTCCATCCGGGGAAGAGGGAATTCGCAAAACAGATAAAATTTGCAAGTTGTTTTGAATTGTGCAAAAACAGCTGCAAACAATTTGCACTGTTTCAAGATCAATGTATTAACACAAAAAAAGAAATGTTTTTATATATTAGATTTTTAAGTTTTGTAAGAGGTTGTTCAGACTTCATATGGATTTAACATTTATAATTTTAAGTTTTTATGGTTTTACAAGGGTAAGGTTTCAGAGACCACATTTTTCTTGAATTCATGGTTATACCCTGCATCATAAAACTGCGATATTTAATTGTCACCCTTTTTCCCTGTTTTTGACAATTCCAATTTTGATCCCTAATGAAGGGGAGATACCTACCCCCCACCCTCTGCGTTTTTTCTCATGGAGTAAAGTATACTCAGGGAATACTCTCTCGCAACCTCGAGCAGATATTTTAATGGCCTTTGTCAGTTTTACTCGTTAGATGGCAGTAAAGTCGGGGGAAGAATATAGATGGCACCACCAGACAAAAACAGGGGAAACATTTAAAGTTCGGGAAACAAGCATTTTTATTTTTACAATTTACACCAAACTTTGACATCATATTAAATAAATAATAGCGTCAATGAAAAGTTGGTCATGCGATAAAAAAAACGATTTTTATCAAATAATTTCTCAATTTTTGATACTCCATGCAATTCATGCAAATGAAAAAATTCACGGCAAGTAGATTCTAAATCTATTTCGTTACAATATTTAAATAACTTTTAAAATAAAAAATTCACCTCCCAAAAAGCTGTTGCAAAATTTTGCAAGCTCATGTAAAATATTACTGCAAAATGTTGAAGAAAGTGGCCCAAGATTTATTGCAACATAAACTAGTTTTAATTTTAAACAATTAGATTTAAAAATTAATTTTACTTGCTTTGATCTCAAATTTAAATAAAAAAATGAAATAATTGCTTTCATGTGTTTCCCGTTATATGAAAACTGAACAATGCATTCTACTTTTTAATGCGTACGGTGGGTTTCAAAAAAAATTTGGATGAAAACAGAATAAAGTATTGAAAGATATATACTAAACCTATCTACTATATATTATGTACCAAAGTGAATATTGATATATTGTGTTGTACGCTGTTAACTAGTGTACATATATCATTGTACAGCATACATTGTACATTAATAAAATAAAAGGCAATTCAATTATAAAGAATTATAAGAAAGAATAAGCAAGTCTGGATATCTTTTATTAAACCAATTATTCTAAATTGCAGAATAGTCTAACATTTTTGTTTAAAGAAATGAGAAAAAGTCTTTAATGCGATAAGACGACATTTAATAAAAAATATATTTTTCTTTCTTCTTTATATCTTAAATGCCTTTATTTACACAAGTTAACAGCGCACACAAGGGAAGCGGGGAAACTAACCTGAAAAATCTACAAGAAATGAGTATTTTTTTCAAATTTTCCAAATTTTTCATTCAAATTATCCAATTTTTTATTCAAATTATCCAAATTTTTTCATTCAAATATTCAATTTTTCCATGCAAATTATCCAATTTTTTATTAAAATTATCCAATTTTTTTATTTAAATTATCCAATTTTTTTATTTAAATTATCCAATTTTTCCATTCAAATTATCCAATTTTTTTATTTAAATTATCCAATATTTTTTATTCAAATTATCCAATGTTTTTAATTTAAATTATCCAATTTTTTATTCAAATTATCCAATTTTTTTATTTAAAATATCCAATTTTTTATTTAAATTATCCAATTTTTTTATTTAAATTATCCTATTTTTTCATTTAAATTATCCAATTTTTATTCTTGAATTTTGAAAATTGGATAATCACAATTAAGCTCTGGAGAGTAAGGAGAAATATTAGATGAACTGACAATTAGCATCTGATGAAATGGAAAAAGAATGGAAAAAAAAAAGCATTAATATATAATTCGACATTG